GGGGGGAGGGACGGGGGCGAAAAGCGAAGATTTTGGGGGGGAAATAGAGCCGTTGCACTCTGCACGCGCTCAGAGGCACGGAGCGCCTGCACGCACCCCGATGCCTTTTGCACGCTGGGGTTCTCTCTCTCTGTAATGCGCATGCTCAGTTTTGCCCCCTCCGGCTTGGTGCAAGACCATCCTGTGGGGGGGAAGATGACGTCGTTCGTCCCCTCTACCTAAGTCTCCTCCCCCTCCGCGTCGGGCGATTGGCTGGCTCTGTCTCCAGGCCCTGCGCTCTTTTTCCTATTGGCCACCGGGTGGGGATGAGGTCATCCTTTCGCCGCAGAGTTCTCGTGGTGTAAACAACTTTGCCACGCCCCCCGGGTAGGCGCGGCTTCCCTTCCTGCACGTGAGCAGAAGGGGGCGTGGTCCTGGCCAAGGCTCCTCCCCCTGGGTCGGGGTTTGCGGGGGCGGGTCTCGTTGGGAACCGGAATACATTGCACTTTCCTCGGGCTTTCCTCTTGGTAGTGGTACCACTTTGGGCTCTCTCTAGACTGAGTTTATGCCCTTTTAAATTTTCTAACCTTCCGAAAAGGAGTTTCCCCCAAGCTCTTGCATGAGGCTCAGCAACCCCAATGTGGAAGTGGGGTGGGGGCACCCAATTAAAGACAAATTTAAGGAAATGAGGGAAGCAGGTTTAATGGGTCGTTTCCCTTTTGGCCATCAGTCAACAAGGGCGCCCCCAGGAGGGCCAGGCAGAGTTTGCACCCACCTGGGTTAGGAAAGCGAGGGTGGCCCGGCGGGCCGTGGGCCTGTGCGATTTTTTTAAAACCCCCAAAGATTGTAGTCTTTAAAACAAACAAACAAACCACCAACCAGGAAGGCTGGTTGTCCCTTTAAGGAGCAAGAGGGTTTCCTGCTCAAGAGCCACTTTTCGGGGCCTGGGAGGAATCCTCCTCGGCTGGGCGTCCTGCCAGAACAACCGCTTCTTGGCCATGAAGGAAGGCGTCACGAGACTCCGGGTTGGTTTTCCTGCCAGAGGCTCACATGACAATCTCTCGGTGGAGCAGGAGAAAAAAAACCTTCCGCCCTTTTTCCTGGATTGTCATTAAAGAGCACATCCCAGGTGGCGCGAGGTTACGCCCCCAGGCGCCCCCCCTTTGTCCACAGCCACTGGCCGTGAGGTGCGCCTGGCGGTCGGCCACGTTCGCGGTTTGGCTGATTCGGGGATCGGTGGGGGTGGCGCAGACCTTGCTCTCGGAGAGGACCCACTGTCCCCCGGGATCCGCCATGCCGTGCGGGTTGGGGGGCCCCTTTGGGCTTCTACGAGGCCACCCCCATCTCGGGGATGCCCCCCAGGGCCAGGTTCCTCATGGGGGGGAGCAGGCCCTTTGGAGGGGCCTCTTTGGTCCTCCGCCCCCATTTTCTGGGAAAAGGGGACCCAGTTTGCAGAAAGGCAAGGGACAGAAGTGACATGGGGGGGCAGAGAGAGTGCCCCGTGACAGCGCAAACAGCAACGCCCTTGAAAGACTAGCCTGTTTCATGGACAGCACCCGAGATCACCCCACGTGTCTTTCTCGGGACACAACCCACCAAAGCGCATTATCAGTTTTTAAAGAATGGCAGAAAGAATTTTGGTGGCGCCGGGCCTTCAGGTGTCTTTGGACCCCGAGATTCCCGAGCCCCCTTTTTCCTGCCCTGGGGTGAAAATCTCCTCGGTTGACGCGTGCAAGTGGCCGAGAGAGAGAGAGACCCTGACTCAAGGCTGCTTCTTGTCCTGCCTGCCAGTTTCCACCTCCACGGCGTCCACGGCCCTCACCGTCAAGACGGCCGCAGCCGGGAGCACGGACCAGGTCTTTGAGCCGGCCAACAGCTTGCCTTCCCGGAGCGAGTCGGCCGCCGTCCAGCCCGTCATCGGGATCGGCCAGAGGGTGAAGATGAGGCCCAACGAGAAGAAGGATCTGGGCACGCTGGGTGAGGACCTTCTCCTGGAACATCACCTGCGGGCGGTGTGTGTGTTGTGTGTGTGCACGCGCTTTTGGCCCAGGATATCCGGGAGGGATCCTGGGGGTGGTTTTGAGGGGCCAAAAAGGGCAGGAGAGAAAAAGGGTTAGTGTTGGAGGTTGCTTGATGTCTTGATTCTTAGAAAAGCAAGAGGAAGGAGAAATCTTGAGACTGACAGAAGGGCTAGTTGTAGGGAGAAAGCACAGTGTCGGGATCCATGCATCTGCAATGCCTTTAGCGTGGGGTGGGGAGTGGGGCCTGCCTTCCCAGAAGCCCCCACCTACCCCCTCTCCCTTCTTTGCAAACCCTGCCTCCCCCCTGTGGCTTTCCCAAAACAATTCCAAATCCTTTGGAAAGCCTTGGGAATTAGCTTTACGTGCTGTCAGGTTGCTTCTGACCCATGGCCATGCTACGAATGAGGGACCCCCAGAAGTCCTCTACAGCCCTGCTCTGGTCTTGCAAACTCAAGGCCCGTGGCTTCTTTTAGAGAGCCAGTCCATCTGGTATTGGGTCTTCCCTCTTTTTCTGCTGCCTTCCCGAGTTCCCCTGGCAGGACTTGTCTTTTGCCGTGTGAGTCTCACCTTCTTAAAATGAAGGCAGGCAGGGTTTGGTGGGTCCCTTGTAGGACGTGGAGGGGGAGAGGAGGGTCCCTGGAAGGCGGGCAGGCGCCCGGAGATGCCTCCGGCCCATCGGTGTGGCTGGGTGTTGAAAGGATGCTCCTTCCTTCTGTCCGCCACAGGCTACGTGCTGGGGCTCATCATGGTGGTGATCATCATCAGCATCGGAGCAGGAATTGTCGTGGGCTACGTCTACAAGAGGCAAGTCTCCCTCAGGAGCTGCTGGCTTCAGAGAGCCGGAGAGGACGAGGGGTTATACACGTTCCAGGGGGTTTCACATGAGAGGCGCTCTCTCTGCAGAGAGATCTCAGGCCCTGAGACCGATCTTATTTGAACTGCGACGGACCGGACTGGGCCACGACCCTTCTCCCTAGAGGGCGTTACTGTGCCGGATTGGTTCCCTAAGGAAGACGTTGTGGTTGAAAATGCTCAAAGTGTATTTGGAGGTCCCGGAAGCACTGCCGATCTCTCCTAATAAGAAGGGTAGAAAATAATTGTCCTGTGTGAACCAAAAGGTGAGGGTAGACAGAGATTGGAAAGGCAGCCGTTGGGTTTTGGGCCCAAAGCCAACCTCCCGTCCAGAGGCTCCTTTGCCTGGCCTGCAACCCAGCGAGCAGTTTGTCCATTAGAACAACATAAAACCCCCAAGGAACTCTTCTCTGCTTCCCTCTTGTGGCCGATCCTGATATTACACCATCAGAAGGGTCCCCAAAAATCACAGAGATGAAACAAAACCGTACCTTAGGATGGGTAAGAAAATGGCATAAAGCCGTTTGTTTTTTTAAAAAAAGCCAGTCAGGGGGCCTCTGAAAATGTCTTTGAAAGTGAAATCTGAAAGCAACCAGACAGTGCTATTGTTATTTCTGAAATGTAACTTAGTTCCACTGCAGTAGCTGCAGATAATTAGTTACAGGCGTGGCTTGTCACCAGTTGCTTCCGTGTTCTGGTCTAAACACTCTGGTTTCTTAGCCTGTTCTAAAAACAGGTCTGTTGGACTGAATCTGTGGTCTAGTTCAGCATTTGGTACTATCAATAGTCTCTTGTTTAGCCGCCTTTCCAGTTGCTTCCGTGTTCTGGTCTAAACACTGGTTTCTTAGCCTGTTCTAAAAACGGGTCTGTTGGACTGAATCCGTGGTCTAAGTTCAGCATTTGGTACCATCGATAGTCTCCTGTTTAGCCGCCTTTCCCGGTGAGGCTGCTACCCTCCCCCCTGGAGGGTGGGCCCCCTGGAAGTTGGAATTTTGGGAGTTGTTGTTCCCCTCTAAGTCATTTTTCAAAGTTCTGACTGTACACCACCTGTCCCCAATTACTTTTCCTTATCATTTTAACAAACCAAAGCAAACTGGTTCTGACAACATCTTGTGGCAGTGAGTTCCATAAGCTGTGTTTGCCTGTATCTGTGGTCCTTTGGGGAAAGGGGCACAGAATCCTCCGTGTCTCATACCCGTCTCTCTCTCTCTCTCTCTCTTGCACCAGGGGTAAAGACCTGAAGGAGCAGCACGAGCAAAAGGTGTACGAACGTGAAATGCAGCGGATCACGCTGCCGCTCTCGGCTTTCACCAACCCCGCCTGCGAGCTGGTGGACGAGAACATGATTGTGGTGCACTCCAACCAGACCCCCGTGGAGGACGTTCACGAAGGGGACGCGCCCCTGATGGCGCAGGCGGGCACTCCCGGCGCTTGAAGAAGAGGCGCCAAGGGACCCGGGTTGGACTTCCAGAAGCCACGGCTCCTTTCTCCTCACCACGCAGCGGGAGAGCACATTTGTATTTTTTCCCCCTGTTTGGGGAGGAGCCGAGATGGACCCCTGGCGCCTTCGAGGGGCGTGGACCAGCTCATCCACCATTGTTATCCATTGAAGGGAGCTGAGCCCCAGCTGTGCGGAAGGGAGCTCGGACAGCGGAGGGGGCCGGGCCCTCCCCGGTCACCACGCCTTCTCCGTGGAACATGGCAACGGAAGCCACCCTGTGCTGGCCACAGGTGGGAGCTCCCCGGACGGTCTGTGGTCTCGTCGGTGTCAATTTTTGCTTTTTTTAAACTTTTCTTTTGGTGCCTGCAGGGCCTTTTAAAGGGAGGGGGCTGTACAGGAGACGTAAGCCTAACCCCCCCCTCCGAGGACGCCAGTATTTGATCATTTGAATGTAGACCGGATCCCCGTTTGTGTTTGCGCAAGGCGGCAGCTGTGGGAAAGGCAGCATCTGTCGAGTTTTATCTGCAGATCCTTGACCCTCCCGTTCCAGATACAGCCCAGCTTCCCGAATGTGAGCAGGATCAAGCTGAAGCCGAAGGTGGCTTTTCCTGCCTCGGCCCAAGGAGACGGATCGTTTCGCAGCAGCTTTCCCCGTCCAGAGCACCCTTCCACCATCTCTGCCTCCTCCTCCCCGGGGTCGGGCAAGGCTATTTTTTAAAAAACATGTTGTCGAGAGGGAAAGGGAATTTCTTGCTCTGCTGGGAGCTTTTGTTGACTCCATCTCGGAGGGCAGGGAAGAGGGACAGGAATGGAGCCTTCCCTCCCCGTCCCCCGGGGACCACTCCAGCCATGCCAGGGCTTCTCCGAAGGACCAAGCCATCTCTGACCTCTCATCTGTAGAGGCCCATTAAGCATCCGGGGACAGGGGCTGCCTGCAAACCAGCCACGGGTTCGTCCGCCCTGCAAGCAAGCGGGGATGGGGACTCCAGGCGGGAGACGCCCTTTCGGCGCAAAAGGTAGAAAAAAACACACTCAATGGCCTCCGGGCCCTGAGCCTTTGCACCCGGGGGGAGTGTCGAGGAGAGGCTGTTTTTGCAATTGGGGGCCCCCCTCCCTCCCTAGCCATCGGTCTG